GAAGGCGAGCTGCGCCAGCGGCGTGATACGAGCCCTGCTCGCGCCTTGCGGACCCCATCTCCGGGTCAAAGTCAGCCTCATTCATGGCGTTGCCAGACGCGTGTTTTTTTATAGTGTCGTCTGTGAGCTTCGCCATCGTCTCTGTATTGCTGCAAACAGAAGCAGAGGGGCGAGATCTGGTGATCGCTGTCAAATCTCACTTCCCAAAGGCTGCGGAGAGGAAGTACCCAGTTCACGAAAAGGAATAACCTGCGATGAAGTATGCTCATGTTCAGACACTTTCTACATGTTAGGATCTAGTGCATTACTTTTTATGTACAAGTGTAACACCCGAGGCGAAAGGTTCAGTATAAGCCAAGGCTTTAACACATACGAAATGGAAATGCAAACTTATGATTGTAGATATTAAAAGAAGTCGTGATAGTTTGAAAAGTACCTCGTTGTACTCTAAATAATCTACCACACTCCTTCGTTTTAGACAGGCATAAGCATGTGAAAGTCTAACAGAGACGTAACTGGTAGGTTGATGATCCGCCGCACTATAAGCATGAGTGGTTTAGTATTTTTACGACGTAAAAATATTCTCAGGTGTGAGGCGATCAAACAACAGCCAGATTAAAAATTAGCGACTACATATCACTAATCTTGCGGTACGCTCAAATGGTTCCGTCTCGCCAAATCTTCAGTCGAGGATGGAAATACTGAAAGGAATGTTAATGAGATGGCAGCTCGGTTTGACGGCATCGAGTATGAAGCCATACACCAACATTGACCATTAAAGAGCTGGATGCGCCCAGCATTCTACTTTGGGCTTATGTAGATTCTCTCGTTGAGAGACGGAGAAACCAAAACTAGCTACCATACCCGCCTTTAAACCGTCGTCGCTTTGAGGTTCGTGATTTACCATATCGAGCGCTCTGCGAAAACTTCTGCTCTTCGTCCTTGCGCCGTAATGTCTGCATTCAAGCATGGACATGACACATAGCCCCAGTCGTTGTATATTGGACTTCAAAAACTTAAGCCACGCACGCTTGATGACACAAGCTGCACAATAGTGTATTTCAGCTCGAATACGCTCAGATTTTGCTACTTGTTTATCGAAGTATCCCCGCACGCCAGCGTTGATAAGGCTAGCAGCTGCGTGATGATAAGTTTCACGAGTTTGCTCTTGCTCGGCGCAGACTTAAATCATATTGACGACCACGATACCCGCGCCACTTGCTTTGTACATTTACTGCAATCTGATTAAGTCTAAGATTTTCTTCTTGCTGTTTTGCTATAGCCATAAGCAACTGGCGATAGCCCCGACGTGTAGCAAAAGCTCTATACAATCGCTGCAGCTTTACTACAGCGTCGCACTGCGCCATCCGACGACTTTGATTGAGCGCCATGAGAGATTCGAAGTGAGAAATGCCACATCGCGCGCGAATGAATTTTTGTAAACGATCTGCCGCCCTTTCACGCAATAGAAAGTTTTGCTCAAGCCGAAATCGCTCGAGATATTTTCGTACAAACATGAAGTGCCTGCGTGTCCAAAACCCTCGAAAAGCAGCCTGAATTTTTACTGCTGATATTGCTTTAAGGACCAGTCTTTGTTCTTCAACTTGAGAATCTGTAATACTAGCTCGACCAGGTACTCCTGTGATTAATCTTTGAATTCGAACGGCACTACGATTGAAAAGCTTTCTTTGCTTTACACGAAGATCGAGGGCGCGTCTGATTCGCCAGCACGTGTAAAATCGCCAAATTTTGTAAGATGCCGACACCTGTTCCAATAATTTACTCTTTGAGTTAGCAACACATCGGCCAATGTATCCACGGTAGAAGGCCTGAAGTCTAAGTGTCGCTGATGATCGAATAGTTTGTTCTTGAATCGAATATTTGATCAGCAGCCCATCGACATAAGGTTCAAGGCCGCGATATGAGTGTGCTTTTCGTGCAAAAATCAACCTTTCAGCTAGTGTGTTGATGCCTGCGTCCGTGATTTCATGACAACCTGTCAGATTAAAGGTTTGTAAGGCAGGACAGGCTTTTGTAACCGACGCAAGGATTTCCTCGCGCATACGCAGACATCCCTCGAGGTTCAGCGACTGCAGCAATGTTGTACCCTGTACCATCTCTAGTAGCCCGGCAGATGACATTGCGTAACAACCGCTTAAATCAAGGGTGCGCAAATGTACACCATGTTTTCCGATGCGTCTAAGAGTAGCATTAGTCAGTTGGTGGCATCGCTTCAAGCTGAGAACATGCAACAATTTGCAGCCTCGAACAATGTGGGATATTCCTGCATCAGATATATATACGAGTCCATCCAAATTGAGAAATCGTAAAGCTCGGCAACCTGCACCAATGTATGCAAGACCTTGGTCACGAACGTTATTGCAAGATGATATATCGAGCGATAGTAAACGGCGACATCGAGTTCGTGAACTTTGAGGCCCCATCAAGCCACTTATCCACCCCAGAGCATCGTCTGTAAGTGCTCCACAGCGCGAAAGATTTAAACGGGTTAATGAAGAATTGCAGCACGAAATAAAATTACGCAAACCTTCACTTGAAAGTTGTTGGCACGACGAAAAGTTGACTTCGTCTAGATGCTCAATACCTGTTGCTAGCACCTGCAGCATTGGAATCGATAAATCGGTGCACGAGCAGTCAAGCTGGCGCATCGCTTTGCCAACAGCGTGCACAAGAGAGCGCAAGCCAACCTGCAACATACCATGATTATCAAGCTTAGTCCTACCAAATTGATTATATATACATACATACACAAGTAAAATTACAGCATCCAGAGAGTATCAGGAGTGTATAATTAGTTGATTGATTAGCTCGAAGTTGATGCGCCATTTCAATTAAAAGGAGATCATCGACTTCATCAGCGTAAGGACGCAAATCAAGTACATCGGGATTAACTTGATGTTGGACATTGATAACACTCGTGGCACGTTCGGACAAGGCCAAAGTTTCGTAATGAACTTCAAGCCCTCTTGCTTCTAGCTCGCATTGGGCATTAGCAATAAGCATTGTTGTCGTGCGGCTGTTCCCCTTTCTTTCCCTGATTAGTTCTGATTGTTTATTGGTATGCTTGCTAACGCATGCATGGCTGTCAGGTCGTTGACATAGAAGTAGTACGTTAAAATAACTTATACTATATGGAACAACGGTCAAACGGTCAAATTGTTCAATTCGGTGGAGAATTATTGAGCGAAAGCTTTTTCAGCGCGTCGGAAGCTAGTCTGTGGCCTGCTTCGTTTAAGCCTAGTAACTTTACTGCGCAATCTTAGCGAGCGATGCAATTGCGTAAATCTTAATTTCCGAACCACCGTCGACCTTTACGATACCGTCCGAGGCATCTGTACCGATCAGCGAGCCCCTAATTCCCGCTTCATCACCAGATAGGATAATAACTGTATCCTGTTTTTCTGGTATCACTGGACGCACATCGCTCAATGACACAGTAACTGTGCGGCCATCCACATCAATACAGCATGATCCACCACCCAGGCTAGTGATGGCACCCACGCTGCCCCTATGTTCACCAGCAAAAACCTCAACCTCAACGCCCTTCATTTTCCACGATATTTCACCGCCAGCAAGTCCACCCAATAACAATTCGTTTGAATTATGGTGAAAGGCAGGGGTCATTGGAATTCCACTGCCTCCCCGCATACCTGGGGACGCTGCAGGCGTGGAAGCTGAACTCATTCGACCCATGGGGGTTGCAACACCGAAGCCTGGAGTCATCGGATTGTGGCTATATCCAGGCGTATTAACACCCGGTGTCACAGGATTAAGACCAGGAGTCATCGCTGACATACCAGGAGTGGTAGGATTAAAACCTGGAGTCATTGGCTCCATTCCCATTGGCTCATGACCCAACCCGGGCGTTGCAGCGGACAAATGTGCTGGTGTGGTTGGGTTTAAACCTGGCGTCGCCGGATTATGTCCCATCAAGTAGGCTGGGGTCCTTGGTTGCAATCCAGGAGTTGCTGGGTTTAATCCAGGAGTTATTGGGTGTGACCCTGGCGTTGTTGGATTTGTAACTGGAACAATAGGCATCATACCATCTCTTGTCGGAGAATGAGGTGCCATTTGCGCCGCTGGATTTGAATATCTGCTGCTCGGCATGTCACTTAGCGGTGCAGTAGGTTCCAGTGGGGTGCCGAAGCTTGTAGCGTGTGTAATATCCTTTTCCTGGTTGATCTGTGTCTCAAGAAGGGCATCATCGTTACCAACATTCCATGCATCTCCTCCACGACCAGATGATTGCGGTGTACCCATACCGCGGTGCAGTGGAGTAGCCATGGGGGTCATGGCACTCCCATGAAGAGGTGTCTGAGATGGCAGCGGGGTGGCACCAGTCATTGGAGTTCCAGAGTAACGTGGCTTGTCTACAACGCCACCATCGCGCGTGCCAGCCATAGTAATGTGTAACCGATCGATGTCCACGACTTTCGCCTTGCAATGAATTTCAACCTTGACTTTCTGGTCGCTTTCATCGACAACAATACCAATATATCCTTTCCAGCGACCCTTTTTTACTTTCACGGTCTGACCGATCAATTCAGAATCACGCTGATTTCTTCCACTTCGTTGATTTTGCTGGCGCAAACCAGCATCCATTCGAGGAACTGTTGAATTCGATATCATGTCGGAGCGAGCCTTGCTTCCAGACAAAATGACACTGCGCGCACGAGCCACAAACATACCTGAGTTGGTTGTAACGCGATTATTGTGAATGAAGAGATAAGTTCGGTAGATGTGTTTGACCGTCCCGCTATGACCCAAGAAAGGTCCTTCGACAACATTGACCATTTCTCCAGCACTCACGTGGTTGTGCTTCTTGTCCAATGCAGCCGTTGTACGCGAGGACACTATCTTACGCTGTACTTCTTGGTCCGAGATGTTTCGAGACTGGCCATTCTGACAAAGTACTGTAAAGCCTTCACGTCCGACATGTGTAATTACACCCACGTCTCCGTGGGCCAGTGCGACTAGATCGTACAGCTCCTTGCCCTTATATGAATCAAGACCATGCGAAACTTCTGCAGACTCTTGCAAATCGCGAACACGTACTTGTATTTCCCGAGCCATACTATCTACTAAAACAATGGCTACTGGAGCACCCTCACTATCATCCACTGCCACTACAGTCCCAGTCTCGCCGGAATAGATACCAGACACCACCTTTATGTGATCACCTACTTTAACATACTTCATAAGCTGCTTCAACTGAAAATCCAAAATTGTGTCTTTAATCTCTTCATGAAGCGGCATGATGCGAACAGTGTCGTTAGCTGTATTAGTACTCAGGACAACACCCATGAGATTAACTAAATCACCTTCAATCACCCGCACGGTATCACCCTTCGTCAAGTCTACTTTGTTTTTCCAATTGTCAGCATCGACAGTGGTCAGTATTTCTTCCGAGGTGTGCTCACCATCTTCAGCCACAACAGACGAGAACCGATTGATCTCATCAAGAGTCGGATTAATATCTTCTGTAGTCAGCATGGTAGCGATGTTCAGCTCCTTAATTAAAAAACCGTCCTGATAAAAATCGTTGTCGAAAGTATCCATCATTTCACCCGTCGAGGGATACCGTCGACGTGCCACGTCGCCTCCAGGGA